GTCTTTGGACCTGACACGACTGGTTGGATCGGGTGAAACATTTCAAGTGTGGTTGGATAGTGGCTTTTGATACGAAATCGAGAGAGCCTCTAAGGAAGCCTCTATTTTTTATTAATCCATAAACTAAAACCTGGAATAGAGAAAAACTAGAGAAAATATTTTCTCGAATGACATTGAAATCATTTTGGGAATGAGGTCAGGGGTTACCATGGAAGATGGGTTTGCAGGCTCTGAATCGAAGTGGCAAGTATTATGTGAAGTCCGATTGTTTGTGGAGTAGAAAATTATCAAACTTAGAAGTCATTTGTGGAGTAGATAATTATCATAGTTAGAAGTCATGATTGATTCACTTGCATTACTATCACTAAATCCAGTTAAAGAGGAAGTATGGAAGACAAACATGGTACCAAAGATCAAGGTGTTTGTATGAAAAACCTCACTAGTTGCATTAACAAGAGGGATGATGGTTGATACGGTGTGTCAAAGTTGTAAAGTAATGGAGAATCGATTAACCACATACTTTTTGAGTGCTCGGTGGCAAGGCTAGTGTGGGCGCAATTTAATTTCCTCTTTCTTTTGGAGGGGTTTGATGGTGAATCGATTTATTCTAACATATACTATGTCCTAAATTCTATGAAAATCCCTTGATTCCTTTTGGATACAAGAAGGATTGCACCTTAGATTATGTGGCAATTATGCAAAAATAGAAGAAATTTTATACTTGAGGGGAAGATCTTCTCCTCGTTGGAAACTGTGGACAAAATTTAGGAGGACCTAAACCAATAGTTTGGAGCTTATAAAGTAAGTGAGATATGAAGTGACAAACTTGAAAGAATTTGTCAGATGGCCGACTTCGTCGACGGGTTAGGTGATGTGTAATATCGAGTTTGCGTGGTCTACAAAAAGTGCATGAGTGGAGCCTCATGGGTTTTAAGAAATGCAGAGGGTGCTATTTTAAGTAATAGTCGTAGAAGCTTCAGTGGTGTGATGAGTTTGATTGAGGCTAAGAGATTAAGCCATCATTGGGCAATGAAAAGCATGTGTAGTTTGCATGTATTTCAAGTTATTTTTCATCTTCACTTACTGGTTATGTAAGGATTTTATTCATATTATTTGTACGGTTGTACCTCACGATTGAAATCCATCAAAAATGTTTTGATAATCATTTGTATCATTCCTTGTACTTTGAAACAATTCATTAAAATATGTTACAACCGCCTCTCCAATTTCCTTGTCACCTCTTTAATATTTCCATCATTGCCTTCGAATGCCATAATTTGAATCTTTGAAATCCTTTGTTTGGTTGTAGCATAGAAAATTTTGGTATTACAATCACCATAATGGAGTCAAATATTCATGCTTTTCAATTGCTATAATTGTAATTCCTCATTCTAATCTTTATGGAGATCATCACGAATTTGATTGATTTTTTTAAGTAGTCAAATTTACGGATGATCAGGCCTCATCTAACTTTTTTTTAGTTCACGAATTCGGTTTGCCTCATTTGGTTGATTTCAATTTTTTCCCATTTTGACATAGCTTGAAGCCAATGACAAATTCGATAACTCACATGTATTAAATTTAAGCTACTCTAGCTATGAACTACATCATCCCTAAATCTATCTTTCTCAAAATTCCTCTTATCATATCGGAATTGGAAATTCCTTCTTTCAATAGTACTACAAATACTTGTG